GTGCGGCGAACGAAATCCTTTTGCTTACGGATTGTCTTAACAGCGCATGCGTAGTATACGAAAGTAAACATCCAAGATGGCGGCGCAAAATGAATTGCTGGCCGAGGCAATTTTGCGCCGCCATCTTGGATGTTTACTTTCGTATACTACGCATGCACTGTTAAGACAATCCGTAAGCAAAAGGCTTTCGTTCGTCGCACACGGAAAGATTTTGGCACGCGAGGCAGAAATTATCAAACATGTTTGATATTTGGCGTAAGTGGCACGAATGACAAAAGTTGTTCGTAAATCGCCCGCACACGAGAGTTATCTCCTTACGCCAATGGGCACGAATGAAATTTGGCTAAGCACATAGCTCCAGTGTGCGCCGGCCTTAATAAATCGACATGCCCCTTTGATAGAAAAGAACGTAAAAGGCCGTGATTGCCCTTGGTTAACCCATGAAATAAAAGAGAGAATGAATGAGCGAGATCACTTGTTGAAAAAAGCCAGAAAGAGTGGGAAAGAATGTGACTGGTGTAATTATCGCAAAGCACGAAATAGTGTCACAAAATGTATTCGCCAGCATAAAGCAAATTATAATCGCTCAGTCTTTCGTGAGAACGTTAACAGACCAAAACAGTTCTGGGACCAAATAAAGAAATGCTACCCAACACGAAATAAGGGGGAAACCCCAAACAAGCTGTTTGACGTTGAAGGAAAACTCATATCCGATAGCTATCTGATCGCTAGTGCTTTTTGCAACTTTCTTACTGGAATTGGTACATCCATTCAACAATGCTATGTCACATTAACAGAGAAACATTGGCAATTCCACAGCTATCAAAAATTGCAAGATCTCATAAACCCACATCATTGCGTTTTTAAATTTAAGGAAGTGACTGAAAGGGATATACTGTCTATTATAAAAATGTTGAGATCATCCACAGCCCCAGGATACGATAATATCCCGATATCCTTTATTATTATTATTATTATTATTATTATTATTATTATTATTATTATTATTATTAAATTGAAACCACATTGCAGCTAGAAGCTGAATTGCGTGGATTACATATTATCACATGCACTACATATAAATATATTATTAATACAATATTATAAAAACCCACCCACGATCAAAATTCGATTAAAATAAGCATAAAATCTATCCTACAAACTTCCTACCCATAGCAGGGATAAAAGAGTTATAAAAGCGGTTCGTGCGTGTAACGTACATATTAAAATACCGATTCGTCCTGAAAGAATAATCAGTCTCGTTCTTCGGGGCAGCAGATGATGAAGTTTATGCATTGGATCCTTGATGATACTCGTAAAGAGTTTGTCACACATGTCCTCTCTTCTTTGAAATAGAGTAGGCAGTCTATAATACTCAAGGACCTCACAATATGTCATTTCAGGAGATAAAATTTTTAGCACACGTTTCTGGACAGTCTCAAGTTCGTCTGCCAAATACTTTGGGATGGAATGATGGAAGGCTTGCGCACAATACTCGAGCACAGGCCTGATCACTGTACAATAAAAGTTCAAAACATCATTGACATTTACGCCTGCCCGTTTCAATAATACTATAAAATAGAGGCGTTTATTAGCTTTCTTTATACTCTCTCTGATGTTATCTTTCCACTGAAGTGTACGTGCCTGTCATAACAAGACCCAATATTTTTGCACTCTCAACTATAGGCAATGCTTCTCCACCCACCAGTACAGGATCAAAAGGTTGTTTAATTTTTTTAAAATCGATTCTCAGTTCTTTACATTTCTCAGCGTTAAGAGATAGCCCATTTGTCTTCG